CTAATACTTTTAATCATCTCTTGGCAAATTTTTGCTCTTTCTGATCTTCAACCAACCCAAAGCGAACAAATTAAGATCACTATTTCATAACATTAGCTTGTAATATATCGAAATGCAACTTTTTTTGCGTCCTTGATCAATTATATCGTCCATACTTTTTCACATAGAGATACTGCTAGTTTTGCAATCATTATCATCCATGACACAGACATTAATTTCATCATTCACGAGCCATGATAATGGAGATTTATCATTAATCGAGTATGACAACGGTTAAAGAGTATTACTTGAGATTACATACAAGGAATGTTAAACGAGCAGATGTTATCATAAAAACCAACAATTCACAGCTTCTAACAGCATAAGAGATCGAAAATGGTGATGAAAAACCACCGAGTTTCAATTGTTGCATTGTTATGGCACTCGAATGAGTGAATTTTATCGCCTCTAAGTCGTCGATATCATTCATTATAAGAGAGATCAATCCAATTACTTCATGACAACCAATCGCGGTAAAGAACAAATGCTCGAATAATAAACAATCGAAGAACACGCCCACTTGAATTTCTCAAAAATTGAGAATTTCTGCCAGTTTTCGCATAATCCTCGTTTTCACTGCTTTACTAAAGAAATTTTTGTTTTGGGACTGCAATTCATCATTTCAAATTCTTGGTATTTCCCGCAAAGAATTTCATTCAAATTCATCCCGGAAATGTTTTAAATTAGAATATTGCATTCTATTATTGGCTTGTGAATTCTTCAGTTATTTGCCTCATTCGAATGAACGAAACGAGCGTTTTTATTAAACGTATTATTTCAGTATTGCTTTTTACGTATGGTTTCAGCGATGACATAACTGCTTCGTGATGCGCCTTTCAAAAAGCAATCGTCGTTGTGAACGTGTGCCGAATGTGAAGTAATCAAATTCTTTGACAACAAATGATTCAGTGAGATCGAATAAAGCAATCGAGGACAATTAACAACACAAGTGCTAACAAGTTATCAGTAATTACCACCTTTAAAACAACACAAATATCAGCAACAATAAGAGTGAAAATAATGATAATAAGTTATATATAAACGATACAATTATGAACAAGAAAAAAGATATGACGAATTGATTATACTGGCGTGTGCGTTACGTTTTCATCTGAAGTTATCGAACGGAAACGGTTCCGTTGCTTTTTTATCGCTGTAAGTTATTAATAGTATCACTCTTTGAGCAGGGCACTGATTTTAGGAGATATTTCACTCTCGAATAAAAATTCTGATCGAATCGACCGCTCAGTCACTAAACGGAGAATCCCGAAAGGGTAGATAAGCAGATAAAGGAAACCGAAGCTTTGTTCCGAACGCAACAATTATCCACGTATAATACTGCACTGAATGAGCAGAATCAAGGAATACATTATATATTACCAATTAATGAATTATTTTTGATAGTATGAAAACGACTGCGAGTGAATAATAATGGGTTTAGTGAGCGAAACTATTGAGAAAAATATTCATTTTTTATGGTTGAAAATATAATGAAAAAAATGGAACAATGCAAATTAATATTTACAAATCTTACAAGATTGAAGTAGGGAACAGTTACAGTTCGTACTCACTTCGAATGAACCCTTCGGTCTTGTTGATTTATCGAAAACAAATACTGCCAAATAAACGGCGTTGAACGCGAACTGACTAAAATGCAAACGTCACTATTATTCGAGCAAATGGATCAATACCTCTGACCAAACCATTTTTACTGACCAAAAAATTAAGACTGATAATTGTTGTCTAATGATGCATCAATGGGATAATGAATATCTCATGGCTCAAAGGCACTTCAATTCATCGATGCTTCATTTAAACTTCATACTAAAATCACAGAGTTTTNGAAAATTCAACACTTCATTATAAAAGCGAATATGCGCGGAGGTCTAATTTAATAAAATTTGCTGTTTATTTTGTTATGATTGCTGTTTGCATAGCAAATATCACAACAAAATGAACAATAATGATAATATCTATTATCACCGCTCGTAATATTTTCAAGTGTTGAAAGAAACTACCTAAAATAAAGTGCTTGTGCAAGCATCCTGGCTGCAAAATGTAATGCCTCTTCGTGTACCTCCGGCATTCCAAATAACATCACCAAACGATACAGATTTTCCGGTGTGTTTAAAATAATACAAATCAACGCTATAGCGAGCCATTTCCATAGAAATCGTGAATGGCGCTGCTTAAATCATTAAATTTTATCATTCAACAAGAAATCAACGAATGGCACTGTTTATACTGTCATTTTTTGAAAATTCTTTCATCTAAAAAACTCAGATTGATTCAATTGATTGTGAGCACAGCTTGGGTTATGGATGAATTTTGATTCGCATTCCATGCGAATTCATCATGGAAATTTAAGATATGATCGTGATGGTGCTATCGAAGAGTAAAAGAACACTTCAATGAAAATATTCCGTTGTAGGTGTACATAAAACGTGCATGATTTATCTGGCAAACGCAAGCATTATCTCATTAATAACACGAATACTACAGCTGACTCAAACGAAAAACCATGAAAATTGCTCATATTTATCAAGAATGTAAGCAAACATTCTTGCGTTATTAAAGGATAAAATGCAATGGATAATGTATTTCATAGATCTACTCTTTCCTGTATTCGACTATTGCCAAGAATCTGAATGGTGGTTTTCACATCAATGAAAAGCGTCGACACACCTTGGCATGAAGTGAACTGCTGCGAACATTAATAATAACCGCTTTTGCAATGGCTTTTCTTTTCGGTTTTGATCGCAGCAATGAGGGAAATGATCTGAAATTTCCTGGTACAAAGTTGGTAAGTGACAGAACTTTTTTTTTTGAACATTCTATCGGTCTTTAGTGACCACCGCCTGAACAGCCCCTTTGGATTTCCGTCGGTGGCTTCTAGTGCCTAGTTGTGACCACTGACTTTCGGTAGCCATCGACCTGACTCTAAAATCTCGCTCAATCGGTACTGATCATCATTTCATCAATGGCTGATATTCATAAAACAATATGTACGGCTTCCGAAGGACTGGTTGGCTTAACTGACTCACACCAGTCATTTCTATGAAACAATCCAGCTCCACTGAACAACTTATAAAAAAATTTATTTCCACAAATTTCAAACAAACTATTGGAAAAAAAAACNAACTTCTGAATAGAATTTGCATTATGGATCCAATTAAATGAATATTACTTGCATTGAAAAGTTTTGATTTCGATGTGCAATTACATAATTTATCCTTCACTTTTTTACTCCGATAAAAAGACTTTCTGAAAAAGTTCTTCATGCCTTCCCATTTCTCAGATCTTACGTTTCAAAGCATACTGGTCAATTAAAATCATTCATTTGATCGTGTATGCACACTGAGTTTGGTTTTTCGCTTCATACAGGCACAATATATCAACTGACGCACAAAAAACAATAATTATGTCCAACAATTTACAGTATTTGATATTCAAATCATTCAATGCGTTAAATGAGCTTTTCATTGATGTGCTACTTACTGCTTACTCATTTCTAAAAACTACAAAAGCATGTTCAGTGATAAGAAGTAAATTAGTTCTTAAAATAATCTGCAAAAGTCGCTGATCACTTAAAAATTTCTCTAACAAGCAGAGTAATCGGAAAGAAAACGGAGTGTCAATGAAATTTTGATAATATTTCAACGTAACCAACTTGCTCTTGAGTAGAACGGAAGCATCCATGAAGATGATCATAATGAAAGGTACACAAAAGGACCATATACTTTCGACGATATGAAACATGCGATTAAATTTCAGTGAATCGAACACAGGTAATTGTGTGCATCCAAACGGTGTGGAATGCACCGCTATCAATAACCATGCATTCAATGCCAATGACATTAGCTGAATTGATTATTATTACTTTATCAATTGCAATTTTTATTGTTTGCTAGTATTCATCCTGTTATTTGGCAACTGTTTCAGTAATCAGCAGAGGGGCTAAAATCAGCAAAGGAAATGAGAACGACTGGATGCTGAACACCTTTCGAATTTATCAGTGCTGAACGGTAAAAAAAATCAAATGGATATTCACTCAGAAAAAGTTCATTCGGGAATCAGGCTCACTGCCGTGCCATTTAATAACTATTGTTGATATATCCAAGAGATTGAATTAGACTATTGCTGAAACAGCCAAAATTCAAACAATCTATCCTAAAAATTGGAAAATGTGCACCAAAGTAATAATCATTGTAAGAATGAATACCACGATAAAAGCAAGTGCTCGATACGGCATTCGCCAGATGCGCATATGAAATAATGGATGTCGTACAGCGAGGTAACGCAACGTTGATAATAATAACCATGACCATATCGAGATACCAGTTACTGTATGTGTACAGAACAACATCAACTGAATTTAAATTTGAGTTCATCCATTGTCAGTCAGTTGGATTGTTTCGTGAAGTCATTGTGGGAGGAACACTCTCACCTTGAAGCCTGATTTCTCAACAGCAGATCAATAACTCTATGATGAAATTTCACGCGGCTTTATCTTTATCTTATATTTCATGCGGCTCTTGAAATTTGTATAACACTGCCATTACTGAGTGTGACTCCGCAATCGTCGATCAACGATGGGTAATCGTTGAGAGAAATTAGATCATTTCAGACTGCTTATTTCAATTTCAAGAGCTATTTCAAAATTCGATTAATGATTCAAGTTGCATACCGCTTACTTCAGAACTGTATTATTTGAATGCACATTCTCAGNGACATTCTTTAAAACTAAACTTGATTATCGTTTTCATACTGACATCATTTTTAATGATGATATTGGTCATAGTAGAATCGTCAAGGGCTTACTTTTGCGAAAAAAAAAAGATTTTTCATCTCGCTAACACTGACTTCATTAGTGTGATCGAAAATTTTTGATAAATGCTTCTAATGTTGGAAAAATTGCAGGTGGTGACGACAGTGATTAACATTTAATTGCAGAAGTACATTTTCAACCCTTCGAACGATTGCTCACACTTTTTATATCCCATTATATGCGAGCTCACTTAATTTCTCGATCCTGTGCCGCCCTTTCACGTTATTCTAATTCTTGATGTGCCGATGAAATGAGACTTATTAGGCATTTAAACGACGTTGTCTGCAACATATAATAACGACAACCATAGTAATAATGATATTGGTAACAAGTGCACTGATGAATAGGAAATTAACCTTACAAACAACACCCATAAAAATAGTGTCGTCATCGATTTGTGGACTCATCTGCATTAAGTTCTGAGCAAGAATCAAAAGAAGAGAACAGAGATCAGCTGCAGCCATTGAGCATAACGCAACTCCAGTACCACTTCGATATCGTTCACCGTCATTTCTTGAATTTGAAATTCTCTCATTTATTCAGTCATTCGTAATAACCATCATAAGTGGTTGACGCAATTTAATTTTTTAAAGAAAAGACTTGAAATTCCTAGGAAATAAGTGGTTTAATTCGGTGATGTTCCGCACAAATAGACATAGAAATTTGCGCGAAAAAAGTCTTCAAGCCGACAGCCATTTTTTCGTCATCGAAGCAATTCGATGACGAACAAATCTCAGCAGAAATGGACGATAGCCTTCAGGAATTCGAGAGGTGACATACCAAATCCCTCTTCACGCAAACACTACAGTTAGTATCATTATTTTTCAACAAATGTTTTGTACACTTCTATCTCAAAACCTCATTATGTTCTCCTTCTGTTAATTGTTCGTTGGGATCCCACGTAATTTAACGCTTTCTCAAGGAAAAAACAACTTGTTTATCCAGTTTATTTGGTGCTTTCCTGATGAAACGAATGATCCAATCAAGCAGCAAAAAAAGAGTGAATTTATCAGTCAGCGATTAATAATATCGAATCAATTTCTCTGATCAAAAATTCTTCAGCGAAAACGATGTGATTTGGTTTATAAATGCTTCGTTGAGTCATTTTCTTCGGTTTTCTCATTCACCAAGGAAATGAATTTGTGTACTGAATTCCGTCTAATTACATTGATTACCTTTCAGAACACTCAAAACAGTTGAATGAACAACTGATTATCATTTAACTGGGTTGAATATGATCATTATCACAAAAGTACTCTCGTTAAGTGATAAATTAAGCAAATTAACTCCACTGCACAACCTCGCTAAACGTTGCATACGAAAGAGCACATAAACGTTGGCTGGAATGCCAACAATAACAGCGACGAAATAAATGAGTAACGTCGCACCACCAACACTTCGGACGATTGGGTCATTTGCAAGCAGATCCTTTTCATCAACATACTAAATTTGACTTCATTCAGTTGAAAGCAAAACAACCTTTCAAAGCCGTTCAATGATAGGCCAATGAATGAAAATAAATCCGGAATTATTTTTGATCATTTTCGATCGATCGGAAATCGAAAACATTATTCACATAGTCTTTGTTCAAATACAATGTGTATTCTCAGCCTTTTCCGGCCAATCGCCCTCGTGTGTTGAAATTCTAGCGAGATCTCGTTGCACATACAGTAATATTTAATCAAGGAGAATGTAGAAAAAAACAACGCAATATGATTTTTTTAAAAAGTTTCTTCCTTCACGTTAAAATCGCCCCCAAACTGCAAGCTTCTTCTTTTCCTGTAGGAGAAGCATTGCTTACGTTGAGAGTCGTTAATCTGCATAATCATACATACCTCTTGATAATCTTCAAACGGATAATTTTTGCCTCCATAATAATCTTTATCGAAAATCTCACCATCGTATTCCGTCGATGACGTATTCAATCCATTATTCATCCTGTAATCGAATACAAACAACACATTAAGTGATATAGAATACAACACACTTCTACTTACAGCATCACGATCAACATACAACATTAAAGCTTTAAATGAACTCATTTGACCTAACTGCACTTCTGTGAGCACATATCATACCGATTAAAGTTTACAATTTGCGTTCTCCATCGCCACCAATCGAATACCCCATCAATGTCTATCGAGAACACAAATTGTGAACGTTGGTCGGTTTCGGAGGGTGGCCGCCGAAATTCGCTTTTCGGTGGCCATCGACAAATTAGCGAACAATTAACAATGGCAAAACGTGCTTGTTGGCCGTCAACCGATGGGCCGTTTTCGGTTTCGGTCGGTGCCAACCGAAAGGTCCAGAAGTGCTCTCTGTCAATGTCCATCGAAATTTAGTTTCTCTTTTAAAATTTACTTTAGTTTTTATTCCATCGAAATTTGATTTTTTTCCACCACCAATCAGCTACTTTATTGTCTGACTAGAGATGGATCGATGGCCTCTAATCATCGGTCAGTGGCCTCTAAAGTAGCTGATCGATAACATTGAATCTCTAGTCACATGTAATGCGTGCACTCGAACTAGGGATGTGAGATCGCGAACATGCGAAAAAAAATGTGAGCAAAAGGTTTACTCCGTTGGTGCTCATGAGCGTGAACAGTAAGCAAGCAGTTCGGAAGATAGTGAGCATGAGCGTGAGCCTCTTAAAAATTCTTTCTGCGTTCGTCAGCGGTGAGCGGATGTCGTTTATTTTCTTAGAATCGCCATTTCTACTTTAAAATATTTGATGCATCATTGAATCACAAGCATGTTTCAAATGAACCACTTAATTCGAATATAGCAAGCATCAGCCATGCATTGTATTGTTTCACAGCTCCAATAAGCATAAACACTAATCAGATCTGTGGACACTTTATTACTAACATTTCATTACTTCTATAAGCATGATATGATATATACGGACAAAATCGTCCAAATAATAGCATGCATCGGCAATACTATCTCTATCGGTGCGGGGACATGAAGAGTAGAAGTGATTTGTTCTAGTCTCCATGATGACTATCACCTTCCCACTGGGATCTCACTATGAACAACCGGCATGGACAATGCAACACGAATTTTGCTTCTCCAACAATTTATTCTCCGCACGATTGCAGCAGTGCGGCACTCTGTGAGCAGGGAGAAGGGAAAATGGCGAGCGGGGACTGACTTGGGAAGGAGACTTATGAAGCGTGGCGGTCAATGAGATAAGAGAAAAACTTGAGAGATAAAATTAGTAATAAAATCTTGAGATAAAATAGATAAAGTCACTGTGAGAGCTTTTCAAATTCTATTTGAATAATTCAGAAATGGATAAATGAATCAAGGATACTAATCTATTCTGATGCATGTGAAAATTGAATAATAATCTATTCCATTTTCCAATGGCAATGAGCATTTTGTCGTTTTACACCATCAATAAGAAATGATAAACTACAACCACGTTGATGCATAACAGTGTTGATGCAACAGATCTGCCTCGAAGGACCGTCTTTATAAGTTCACTTGTCCAATCCAAGAGCCTCCCTTCAAATCACTAGGACAAATCAAAGCTTAGATTACTGGGGCAAATCTGCCCATGGCCTCAGGTCAACTTCTACTGTTTTGGGATGTTAGAATGAAAAGTGCCTCTTGGACTGGGCAAGCAATATTCCCTACCACTGTTATTACTTGATAGTTCAACACTCGTGTCATCAATCTGATCTGACATCACCGTCAGTGCAGTAGCTCACATCACAAAGAATCAAGGTAACTTTCCAATTACTTAGAATGAAAAGTGTGAGAGTTCTCATTCGCGGCGGTCCTAATTCAAAACCGCTGGAGAACTATTCCCTCATGGGGAGACCACGGAAGCAGGTATGAAGACAACCAAATTGATTTCACTCAGTCCCCGTGAGGATGCAGATAGGAAAATCTATTCTCACGTCAATTTCATATCAAATAAAACACCTTTCGGTTGCTTATTTCTGCTCTTTGTGCTAACAAGGAATGAAAGAATTTATTTGAACGAAACGAGAATAAATGATCGACCAGACGTTTTGCTTCAAATTTGCTTAATTATCGGGTATAAGTATGCGTCATTGATGATAGTTGGAAGATAGCTAATGTTCTTCACATGGATAGTACAAGAATGACTCGTTGAAAGGAAAGAATATGCACTTAATTGATGACGGCAAAGAATAAACGTAATTCGAATAAAAGGCGAGCAGGGATAGTTGTTACGAACGACAAGTTGATAGTAGGTTAATGTCAAACAAATGCGTTCAGTATTGCTGTAAGATGCATGGAAAAGCATGATGTTTGCTCGTTTTCATTTCGTCGTTATTAATATTATTAGCATTGCCACAACCATTAAGCTCATCAGCTATTCACTATCTTTAGTTGATCTCTTAAGCTTTTAGAAATGCCTTTTATTAAGGAGAATGTGTTCACATCACAAACTGATTACATTGTATTAGATGCGGTTATACAACGTGAATGCGCTACAAATAACGACGATTTGTTGGATCAATTGAAATGAATCACAAAATGATCGTTTCAGTATTGATAAAATTAACCTTCAAAACGTTTCAGTTGATGATATCCGAGGTGGGTTGTGATGAAAACTGAACTGGCACTTAATTTCGGCTATTGAAAGTGCTTCGGCTAAAATTTTTTGCAATTCTAGGTGAAAGTGCTTATAAGCTAAATAATTTTTTCTACATTATTTCATAATCGTAATATTCGTGTTTTCACTTGATTTTTGCCTAATAATAGTATGAGATGATTGTATCTTAAGCATATTGTTCGTGTTGAATAGCTTACAATTATGTGGCGCATTCTAATGGTCAATAGAGTATTGCAGCATCATTCGAGCTTTCTTTTATCAACATAACAACAAACACACCAGCATTTAAATTTAAACTGGCCAATTGTAAGGCTTTCAATTCGTTCGAATGCAATTCAAATAAATGTATTCTATCAAATCAGGAACACTCCAGAAATGTTCGGAAAAGCTTTAAACATGGATTAGCTATCATCGTCATCACCTGATGCATACATCATGCAAATTAAACCGATCATCATCATCATCATCAAAGAGCAGTGTCATATCTGATGGAGATAATCGCGCTTGTATGAATGAAACATGATTATAAATATATAGATTTATACACAAACTCCCAGTGCATATGAATATTCAATAATGCATTCTTAACATTTAATCGGCCCAATCGAAAAAAAACGAGATTTGAATAAAGATGCTGCATTCATGATTACTTCGAGCCGTAAACGACTCATCTTCATAATCTGTAGCCAACCTCTTCTATCGACTAGAACTAGCAACAACATCTCTTTTTACCAGAAAATAAAACCTCATAAAAACGAGGTTAGTTGTGACCCCATTCCTTTTATCAGTATCAGTTCGATATTCATATCGGTAATTGTTTATGAAATGAAGAATTATTTGCTGAGAAGCTCATTTCATCGTGACCATTGATGAACTGCTATGATCACTATGTTTTGTCGCATAGGACGTGATGATCCCAAAATGAGCAAATTCCAAATTTAAAACGCATACAGGGACAATCCTGAATTAAAATGCTTCTCTAAGTATTCTTGAAGAAAAATGTTTAAGTTATAGTCATGGAATCATCACGAGTTTTCATTCCGTTTGTTGGTAATTGCACCGTACTGCACGATCAATGGATACGAAGAGAAGGATTATATGAACTGGATTAAATGAGTACCTGAATAAAATGACGAGTGATGACTGATGAAATATGCACAAAAGAGATGAGCGAGTCATAATTAGAAGTGTCAAGTGGCAATGCATTAAGAAGATAAATGGTGCTAATTACATGCATGACAATAAGAGTAGAAATATTTTCAGAAAAGTTTTAAGAAGAGCACAGAACCGTTAATTACGAGACTCAAAAACGGGGAAATACCGCCAGCTTGTTTTCAATTCTATTGAATGAAAAAACACTCATGAAAAACAAATAATTTTCAATTTGTATTGAATCACACATCAAATTCATAATACCAGGCGAGTTCAGCGAGGAATACTATTAGTATGAATACGTCAATACGTATTTATTCTCTGCCGAATATGTCAACTGATAAAACGTATTATAGTGACGAGTAAAATGTGTCAACTAACAATGGTAAGGAAGTTATCGAATGACGCAGAAATATTTGTTAATGAATCCGATATTGTAATTAAAAGAAAAAAAGTTTTGTGTCCATCAACTTTTCAATAGTGACGAGAAGTGGCTTCTACTGTCGCATAAAAGCTTAAAAACGTCCAAAATGCGTCCTCACATTGACTCGCCAGAACCTTCCAATAACTCGTCGAAAGTTTGAACGCAAATAGCGTTGCGAAGAAATGCAAGTGAAGCAAAGAAGTTTGAAGAATATTCTTCTCAAAGACGGCACTTCATCTGGTCGGTTGGTAGATTGCATTTGAATCGGATCTTCGCCCCTCAACTTGATTAAATTGATACGTGCGATTAAGGCACAAACAACTCAACTTAACAAGTGCTTTCCATTACCTGAACATTTCCGCTGAAATCCAAAAGGTTCAGATATAAAGGGATGAATTGTATAGTAAAGATAATTCCTATTCTCATTATCAAAATTATCATCCTCGATGAATATTTATCATTTGCAAACAGTTGGAACCAAATAATAACGATTTTTTTCCATAAAAAGACGTATGGGCGGTCGGGCAATAAAATTTTTAATTTGAAGAAATCACCGGAGCAGTTTACTTTACGCATGAGCTCTTAGTTACATACGAGAAGTTCATTAAATTTCGCAAATCAAACGAAGCATGAACACTTATTATCGTGTTGTTGATATCACATTCAAAACCATGCCGCGAATATCCTCTCTACTTTCGTAATAGAAATTGTTTCCATCGGTCTACGAGCCAACCTATGGCTGAGTGCACACACAAAATGATCGCTGCTGAAACGAAAGCCGTACGTTTCCAAATGGAGATGGAAAGACTGAATGGAATTCCATACATCTGCTGAGGTCACTCTAACGAATTGAATTTGACTGACTGAAATGTTCC